AACCTAAGGGTTTTGTGAAAAGCAAGAAAGCATCCTGCAATTTGAGATTGGATCTCATACAGACTCCAGAAAGAAGAGAAGGTATTCAGCCATCTTCGTCCCAGGAGTTCTCCTCCAGCCGCCGCCATTCTTTCTGACAAGATTCGATCTTTGAARAAGAAAGWAATCAAGAAATCAGTTCTTGACATCAGTTTTGCAGAAAAGACTGAAAAAGATTTGGTGCTCAGAGTTTCCAGAGTATTCTTGCGAAGGATCCAGTGTGTAGGAGGCACTCTGCTGGTTCCATTCCACATACAACTGTGTCATCTTCAGCAGGAGCGGATCTCGGTGTCCTATTTGGGTGTGAACACCAACTTTGGGAGATACTGCTTCTCTGGATCAGGTATAATTCCTCCCATCCCTTTTGGTTCAAATCTGGTTCGATTATGGTTCAAGTAGGATCCTTGAATATTGTATTCTTAAATTAGGGAATATGATTCCCAGTTAAAAGAAGGTAGGAAAATTTTTGAAATTCACCCACCCATTCCGCAACCTTCATGGTGTCCATTAGATGGCTCCTACCATTCTTTCAATTCCAACTATTACAATCCTGGGTGGAGGGAGCATCCCAATCTGAGCTACGGAAATCAAGGAGGACCACAGAGATTCCAGCCCCAAGCTTTCAACAGACAACATCCAATTCCAACACCTACCCAAGCTCAAATTCAACCCTCAAGTTCAGGTATGTCTTTAGATGAGATCGCTAAGGCTCTTGTGACTAACACTCAACAATTCCAATGGGAAAGCTACCATCACAGATGGTAGTCAATCCCAAGGAGAATGCAAGTACAGTGGTGCTGAGAAGTGGGAAGGAATTACAGTCACAGCCTACTTCACCAAGGAAAGAGGATAAAGAGCAGAAAAAAGAGGAGGAACAAGTATCACATGAGGTAAAACCGACCCCCCTCTACCTAAGATGTCTAATGCCATTGTGCCACCATTCCCTAGTAGGTTGGAAAAATCTAAGAAAGAAGAGTACGAGCAAGAAATTTTGGAGACCTTTAGGAAGGTGGAAATAAATATTCCCTTGTTAGATGCCATCAAACAAATCCCCAAATATGCAAAATTTCTGAAGGAGTTGTGCACTAACAAAAGGAAGCTGAGAGGCGATGAGAAGGTAAAGGTTGGGGAGAACGTGTCAGTTGTCATCAAAAGGACCCTGCCGGAAAAGCATGCTGATCCATATATGTTTACTTTACCTTGTGTGATTGGCAATAAAAGAATTGAGCGTGCCATGCTAGATTTAGGTGCATCCATCAATGTCATGCCATACTCAATTTATTGTGCTTTGAATTTAGGTCCATTGAAAGAAATTGGGGTTGTTATTCAATTAGCTGACCGTTCTAACGCTTACCCTGAAGGGATTGTTGAGGATGTTTTGGTACATGTTAATGACCTTATATTTCCAGCCGACTTTTACATCTTGAAGATGGAGGAGGATACTATCACAAGTTCAGCCCCACTTCTATTAGGTAGGCCATTTATGAATACGGCCAAAATCAAAATAGATGTGGATGAGGGTACCCTCTCCGTCGAGTTTGACGGCGAGATTGTTAAATTTAATATTTTTGAAGCAATGAAGTACCCCAATGAATGTCATTCGATTTGTTCAGTTGACATTGTTGACTCAATTGTGCAGGAAATTTTTGGGGAAGAGGATATGAATGCGGAACTCAAATTAAGTGCACAATTGGATATGGAGGAAGAATTAGATACATCTTGTGAAGCTCCGGAGCCGATATTGGAACAAAAGGTAACAAATTCTAATATTCCATCATCGTTTTCTCATAAGAAATTGTTGCCTTCTATTTTGCAGGCTCCGAAGTTAGAGTTGAAGACCTTACCAGATCACCTTAAGTATCCCTACTTGGGTAACAAAGAAACATTGCTAGTGATCATTGCAAAAGGGTTGACTGATGATCAAGAGGCACACTCATCGAGGTTCTGAAAGAGCATAAGGCAGCGATTGGTTGGACCTTAGCCGATATAAAAGGGGTCATCCCCTCAATCTGCATGCACAAAATTCTTTTGGAAGATGGTGCCAAGCCAGTCAGAGAATCACAAAGGAAGTTAAACCCAGCAATGAAAGAAGTGGTAAAGAAAGAAGTGCTTAAGTTACTAGATGAAGGGATAATCTATCCGATTTCAGATAGTAAGTGGGTGAGTCCGATACATGTTGTACCCAAGAAAACTGGGATCACTGTGGTAAGAAATCAAAATAACGAACTGGTCCCAATGAGGGTACAAAATGGCTGGCGTATGGTGATTGATTTTTGAAAACTTAATTTAGCCACTAGAAAAGACCATTGCCCCTTACCCTTCATAGATCAAATGTTAGAAAGGTTAGCCGGAAAGGCATTCTTTTGTTTTCTCGATGGATTTTCAGGTTATTATCAAATCGTTATTGCTTAAGAGGACCAAGAGAAAATGACTTTTACTTGCCCATTCAACACTTTTGCCTACAGACGGATGCCTTTTGGTCTGTGCAACGCTCCAGGTACTTTTCAAAGGTGCATGATTTGTATATTTTCTGACTTTATTGAGAAGTACATTGAAGTTTTCATGGATGATTTTACTGTCTATGGTGATTCATTTGACGATTGTTTAAATAATTTGAATAAAATTCTAGATAGATGTGTTGAAACTAATTTGGTTTTGAATTATGAAAAATGCCACTTTATGGTAAAGGAAGGCATTGTGTTGGGACATGTTATCTCTGCAAGAGGCATAGAGGTTGATAAGGTGAAGGTTGATTTAATTGTGAGCATACCTTACCCTACAAATGTTAGGGAAGTGTGTGCTTTTCTTGGACATAAAGGTTTTTATCGTAGGTTTGTCAAGGACTTTTCAAAAATTTCCCTACCATTGTCCAAATTGCTTCAAAAAGATGTGCCTTTCGATTTTGGGGATGAATGCAAGGAAGCATTTGATAAGCTCAAGAATTTGCTGGCGATTGCACTCGTTATTCAACTACCGGACTGGAACTTGCCCTTTGAAATCATGAGCAATGCAAGAAACTATGCGGTAGGAGCTGTTCTAGGTCAACGGATTGATGGGAAGAGTCATGTCGTTTATTATGCTTCGAGGATGCTGAATGCTGCACAATGCAACTACACAACCACCAAAAAGGAGCTATTAGAAATTGTTTTTGCTTTAGATAAATTTCGATCATATTTTCTTGGCACTAAAGTGATTGTGTTTTCTGATCATGCAGCTTTGATATACTTATTGGCGAAAAAGGAGTCAAAGCCGAGGCTGATACGGTGGATACTTTTGCTCCAAGAGTTCGATTTAGAAATAAAGGATCGAAGGGGAATTGAAAATTCAGTGGCGGACCATCTAAGCAGGTTGGTAAAAGATGAAGACTCCTCACCCATCTCTGAGCTTTTTCTTGATGAGCAACTATTCCAAATAAAAGGTATGTTCCCTTGGTATGCTGATATCGTGAATTACTTAGTTACTGGAATTTTGCCTAGTTATCTTAGCAAGTCAATGAAGGATAAAATCAGGTATGAGGCAAAATATTATGTTTGGGACTTACCTTATTTGTGGAAATTTTGCTCTGATCAAGTGATTAGGAGATGTGTCCCTGAAAGTGAACATATGTCGATTTTGAATTTTTGTCATAATTATGCTTGTGGTGGTCTTTTTAGGCCAAAAAGAACTGCTAGGAAGGTCTTAGATAGTGGGTTGTACTGGGAAACTTTATTTAAAGATGCATACTTGTTCTGTAAAAATTGTGAAAGATGCCAACGAACAGGTGCATTGTCTCGCAGAAATGTGATGCCCCAAACCCCCATTATTATTTGCGAAATTTTTTATGTTTGGGGTATTGATTTTATGGGACCCTTTCCTTCCTTTTGTGGTTTTGTTTACATTCTAGTAGTTGATTATGTCTCAAAATGGGTGGAAGCAAAAGCCACCAAAACTGATGATAATAAGTGTGTTGTAGGTTTTATCAAATCTAACATTTTCAGTAGGTTTGGTATTCCTCAAGCCATCATAAGTTATCAAGGGACCCACTTCTGCAATAAAGCCATTGAAGCCTTGCTGAAAAAGTGGGGTGCATCACCGAGTCGGCACTGCCTATCACCCTTAGACAAATGGACAAGCTGAGGTTTCCAATCGAGAAGTCAAGTCCATTTTAGAAAAGAAGTTGAGCCCGAGCAAAAATGATTGGAGTCTACATCTAGATGATGCACTTTGGGCATACCGAACCGCATATAGAACACCAATAGGGATGTCTCCCTATAGGTTAGTTTTTGGCAAATCTTGTCATTAACCAGTTGAAATCGAGCATAAGGCATATTGGGCAATCAAACGTTGCAATATGGACATAGAAGAAGCTGGCAAGGCAAGAAAGCTCCAATTACAAGAATTGGAGGAGTTGCRGYTRGAAGCAYATGAGAATTCRAGAATCTACAAAGAGAAGACCAAGTTGTTCCATGATAATTTGCTTTTAAGGAAACAGTTTGTAGTTGGTCAAAAGGTGTTATTATATAATTCTCGACTCCAACTCATGCCAGGTAAGTTGCGTTCTAGGTGGATGGGTCCATTTGTTGTTACTAATGTGTTTCCTTATGGTGTAGTGGAGATCAAAAGTCTTGATATAAATAATGTTTTCAGAGTGAATGGGCATAGATTAAAGTTATTCCATGAGGATGCAATTGTCTCCTCCTTGGAAGACATCTCATTTGATCTTCCTCATTATTCATCGAATTAACGAAGCAAGGAAGGACGTCGAGCATAACGACGTTAAACAATTGCGCTTGTGGGAGGCAACCCATTGTGTTTAGTTATTTTTGTTCAGTTATTTTTTATTGTTTTCAATTTTAAGAGCATGGTCGTGTTTAGCAGCTGAGTTCACATCGGAAGGATCACAACAAGGCGTTTAGGGAAGTTCCCTTAAATCATTCTATCGTACGCCCACAGTCATATACATTGGGGACAATGTATACCTTAAGTGTGGGGGGATTAGAGGAATTTGGCAATTTCTGGGGTAACTCTAACATGCTTCAATCATCACTTTTTAACCTTGCTTTTTGAAGTTTCTGCTCCCTAGAAACTTATCTTTGAATAATTTCAAACTATCATGATTTATGTGCTTAGGTTGAATAGACAAGGCAGGATGCAAGCATGACTAACTGAACTTTTTGACTACGTAAGGCACCTCATTATTTTGGGAATAAGCAAGATTCAATACAAATGTAACCCTTATGAGTTATGAGCATTTTTTTTTCGCCTAAAGGCTTGTCAAAAGCCTGCCAAACACGGTTTGATTATTCTAGAACTTTCTTTGTAGTCATGTTGAGACCACATCAATGAGTTCATGGATCGGAATGGAAATGGTGATGTCTACTATTGTGAAAAAAAAGAAGAAAAAAAAAATCGTGACAAATGTGAGATGGAGCATAAGATGCACTCACATTTAGAAACAAAAGAAAATGGTGAGATGGAGCATAAAATGCACTCACCCCTAGCACTCCATTTCAATTTTTGATGCATTGAACTCATGCTAAGTGGAGGAGATGTGATACATAAGCAAGTTTATGGTAATAACATACCTTGTTTTGACCTAAGAAACTAATGATACCTCAAAAACAAAGAGAGATATTTGAATCTGGTTGCATTTGATTGTTAAAACAATGAGTGCCTATTTTAGGGCAAAAATGTTCAGTTTTGGAATGTTTGTTTTCCTTGACTGTTGAATTAACTTGGGTTCATGAGGAATGATGAGTTGAGATTACTCTTTGACAAGTTAAAGAGGAGAACGAAGTGGAAAATGAAAAGATTATTAAGTCTAGATTGAAGCATGCGAGAGGCCAAGCATCATGTTGAGAGAGAAAGTTTTAAAAATCAGTAGGTAGTTAGATTGTTTGAGTTTTGTCTTGCCCGAGGATGGGCAAGGTTTAAGTGTAGGGGGATTTGATGGGAATAAAAAGTATCATATTTTTATCCCCAAATATTCATTCTTTTATATTAAATTAGCACTTAATTGGACTCATTACTCTTGTATTTCGATTCAGGGCAAGCAAGAAGGCAAATGGAGAAAAACAAGGCTAATCGAATGATTTTGCACAGTTTCGGCACCGTTCAATAATCAGGGCATAACTCTCAACTCCGGACTCCGATTGAGATAATTCAAGATGCACTGAAAAGAAAAGGGAGAACTCCACAACTCTCGTATTTTGGGTTTTGAAATATTCGGTCTGCATCGAAGTCAAAATCGGGCCTGAAGTCGGAACAAATTCGTAGTAAAGCCCAGTTCACAACTGAAGCCCAATTCGCAGGAAAGCCTTATAGCGGCCCAGGTTATTAAAGAGCCCAACTCGAATTCAAGAATAAAGAGTCCCATCAGATTCAAATTTCAAATGTAATCCTAGAAGGATAAGATGATTGAGATTAGATTACTTGATAAGAGATAGGATAGGATTAGATCAAAATTGATTAGGACTTTCTATTTTTGAGGATAATCT